CTGCCAGTTCAGAGGTTTTTCGACGGAAGCGCTTTTTTAGTATTTCAGCAGCATTTTGCACAATACTGCTCTGTGAATGTGAAAAGTGTTATCCTTGGAAGATGTTCTCATTTTTCAGAGGAGAAAGCGTTGCGCAAGAAATATTTGTGCGTTCGGACGGTAGCCCGAGAGGCAGTTGTAGATGCGGTCGGTGAAATTATTTTGCTAAGTAAAATGAGGAAGCCACCAAGAAATTATTCTTCAGCTGGGTTAGCGCTTTTATCTTAATCATGAATCTAACAATCTTTCTACGTCTTCTTTCTTCCCTTCCCTTTTACTTCCTTTTATCTAAAAAACCTCTGCCCGAAAGTTCCTTTACAAATCAAATACTCATTTTTTTAGCTAAACGAGCCAATTCATTTAAATGTTTTTATTGTAGCGAAGTGGACGGCATTTTGATATGCTTTAAACACATTGTAATTCCTTCATCATTCGGCATGACAATACCTCGAAGCAGATCGTAAGCAAATTTTCAGCCTTTCATTGTTTATTACCATTTTTTCTGGCGAACTGTCTCCACTTGAAACATTTCTTTTGTGACATTCTTTTTAAAAATTGCCTGTTTAATCATCGTTGTTGTATTACCAGTGTTATTGCTGTTCGGGACGGAGATAGACTTGCATGCGCCAGAAAAGCTAGAAAACTGAATTTTTGAAAAGATGTTCCTCGTCCACGTACAACTTAAAGATCTCAAATTCGGCCCCGGGTGTGCAAGGCACTCAGTACGGGCGCGTGAAAATTTTGGTAGGAAAAATGCTGGCTCTCGCCTCTCCCGAGGTATGCGTGGTCATACATAGAGGCACGTATTGGCGGGAAAATTGCTCACTGAGCAGCTAGATCACTTACAGTGAACGACCGTTCAACGGAAACTGTTCGTTCCCCTTCATTAAAATTTACGATGGTTTATGCTAATGAGTATACAAATTAAGTGTTAAGCAACAGTCACTCATATTGTTCACGATCTGGCTGCTTCAGTTCAGTGATCACACCGGGAAGCCCGATGCGTTCCAGTTTGGGTTATTTATTTATTATTGTTATTATTAGTATTGTTATTCCAGCACAACTTCTGGATTGTATCCATCAATGGGAGATGCTTTTCGACACTCCGATCCTTCGCTGGATAAAACAGGAAAGAAGCCTAGTGCTGGTACTAATGTCCTGACAATAAAAACGGGCCTGAAACGAGGTGTTGAAGATGTTCCGTTCAAATTAAACCCCCTTGTAGAAAGTACCATGGTTAAAGACAAGGTAAAATTTTGTAATTTTTTAAATTTGCTTTTGGCTCGAAGTAGCAAAGCGTCGCGTGTGAGTAAATGGTGCCTTCGAAGAATAAACTTCGGAGAAACCAC